CCTACCCTTATCAAACAAACAGAAGAAGCAGGAAATCTCGAACAGAGAGGTAGATATTTTTCAAGTAAGAATAAGAGGCGATTTTTTAGAAGTACTGTGCAATCGAAGATAGCTATTCAAGACCAAGGAAATGGATAAAGTGCGGCCAAAAAGGATATAATTATCTAGTAGAAACTGTAGGCCTGATGCACGTACAGAACATCACGATACGGAGAAATACCTACTGCGATTTGAGACCCCGGTAATTGATATAAGTTGCTATATCTGCGTACACCATCTGTCGCCCAGAAAGATTCTGTACGCTCCGACAAGGTTTCCAAGGACTCTGTGATGATTGATGAAGTTGAGGCTACTAAGGATGTTTAATAGATATTCTTGAAAATTCCATCCACCAAACTGAAGGTAGAAGTTTTAATTGCCGGCGTAGTAGGACAGTTTATATTAGGTGCGATTGTCCTAGATACTTTCGATTTCCTACCTGTGGACTTGGAAATAAAATTCTGAGAATGGTCAACAAAAAAAATATTTTTTCGTTAGTATCATATAGCAACAAGCAAAACCATTCGTCGAAGAAACACAAATTCCCGGAAATAGTGAGGCGATTGTTAAGGCACACTCAGGAGAACATCTAAAGGACGGCGTCATCGTGGAAGCAATCAAAAACAGGCATAATGTAACTTCTGTGACTTAGTCAACTCACATTTTTTCAGTGATGTTAGCCAATCTTTACATTGATGCCCTTTTCGCCGAAACTCTGAAGTGCTTGGATGATGTCATGTCGACCTACATTTTTTACATCGTATTTGTCAGAAAGTCTGGTCCTCCGGTGTCTGCCGTTTGGCCAGATAAATGCAGCACTCCAATCTTTGTTTTACTTCATTATCAGGGATCTTCGGTAAGCCCAGACAATTATCGTCTACTCTTATTGATCTCTCATTCAAGCAAGGTTACGCTGTATATTCTGAAGTCTCGTTTGGAGGGTTTTGTGGACTGGCAAGGGGAGGTGGTACGCGCGAACATACTTGAGCTTCTTCTCAGGATGAATTGTTAACCTTACCTAATATCTTAGAACAACGTATAAGTGCTGCATGTGGTCTGTGGTCTTAGTATCAACTACAATAAGACCCTAGGTCATGATCGTTGATAGAGAACATGACAAGCATCCTGAAATAACATCAGTAGGCCATTGTCTATTGTCTGGTAAGGTTTTTTTTTATTTCATATTTAGGATGACGTTATCGAACAAGGACAGACAATGTTGTCAATGCCTATTTTTTTTCTTATAATTTACCAGAATGTCATGTGCCAATAATTCTGACGACAGCTAAAAATAACGAAATGAAAATGTTTACACAAGTCATGCAACGTCGCGAACCTTTGCCAACCAAAAACATCTGAAATTCCCCTAGTTTAAATGCGTTTAAAAGTACTTTTAGTTTTGTTAGGTTGGCAGCAGAAATTTACTAAATGTGACGTCATCCTAAATATAACGTAAAAATCCTATAGTCCAGAGTTTTGTATTTTTTTGATCGACAATTCAGAATTCAGGTGGCTGCGAGGTTGAAATTTGTCGGCGCATTCATTAGAGCCACTGAATTGAAAAATAATCGCGAAAGATGGAGGTTTGCGGGTTTCCAAGCAGTTTAAACCTTCATGTCGGCATTCCTCCAGTCCTGACTAAGTACATTTTATGAGCTACCAACACGTCTGGCAAGACATTGTGATTATGATGGGAGCCAATCTTATGATATTGAAGAAAGGGGGCCTCCGTAAATGAACATCAGCCATCAGCCATCCGAGAAGTCCGTTGGGAAAAGCAGGACCCCGTGTCGAATGCAGTGAACTTATCTTTGGAACTAATGCAGAACTCCAAAATAACCTGCAATTATTTGAGATAAGAAAAAAGTTATTGATTATGTGATAGAAAGGGCTGATGACTTTGTGCATGATACTGGATGACCCAGCCAAGTAAAACTTCGCATCAACACAGTAAGTGCAACAACTCACACAAAGAAATTGTAAAATTATGCGACAAACGATCTGGATGGCAATAAATTGCTAGTTTTGGCTAAACGGTGAAGGAATAATAGCTTCAATAAGACTATTAAGACTCTTTGTGTCATGTGTCTACGAGAAGACCGAATCATTCGTAATTGAGAGAGCACTGAGAGCAGATGGAAAAAGCCTATAGTACATGAAACTATTTTGCTACGGACCATATTTCGGAATGAAATATTATTGACACAAATATAACATCCTCAAGTATGAGGCAGAAAGCGGACTGAGAAGAGAAAAGAAAGTTCTCTCGTCACATTGTTTTGATCAACATTTGAAAAATATATTTACTCCAAAAAAACATACTTATTGTGAAAACTTGAAAGGATAACGCACACCTAACATGGAATTTTTGGGCTCTATGGATTTTGCCCATTTTTTGATATGTTGTAGAGGATTTAATTCTGAACAACCTTTAAATGGGACGAAATCTTGTAGGTACTACGGTCTTTGAGATATGAGCGTTAGAAGAGGAACTTTTTTGCGACTTTTTGTGTGGAGAGTATACGAGATACTGGTGCTAGTGGTGTTTATCAGTCAAAATATTGACAGGTTCACATATTTCACGTCACTCACAAATTAATGTCAACATAAGTTAAGGCCGGAACCGCACTGGGGTCAATGTTGGTGCTAGTGCGGTCTCGGCCTTAGCTTATGTTGACATTTGTTAGTGACGTGAAATATGTCGACCTTTCAAAATTTTGACTGATAAACACCAGTTTTTCGTATACTCTCCACACAAAAAGTCGCAAAAAAGTTCATCTTTCAGCGCTCATATCTCAAAGACCGTAATACCTACAAGACTTCGTTCTATTTAAAGGTTGTTAAGAATTTAATCCTCTACAACATATCAAAAAATGGGCAAAATCCATAGAGCCCAAAAATCCCATGTTAGGTGTGCGTTATCCTTTTGATTGCTGATTCACTAATACTAAATTCTTTGATAGTAGTTGCTCCAATATATATTCTTGAATTAGGACTTATGAGTGATGTCCAATACTTGAACTAAGTTTCGAAGCTTTATACACTTGTGAAAGTACACAAGACTGGATATCGGGGAGAAATAGAGCAAAAATAATAGTGTTTTGAAATTCTCTTTTTAAAACATTTTTTTGTCTGACCTATAGACGGTTCTGGATAAACATTTCAAACTAGCTGATAAACTATCATGATTCCGACATTTGATTTGATTGCATTTATTGTTTTCAAGATGTTTACCTAGTGACTTTGAAGTTTTGAGAGCAAGGCTGATATTATCTTGTTTATTGGAATAGTTGAGGAACACATTTTTTGATTGTTCGACTTAAGTACCTTTGTTTATAACTTGTACTTAATTGTTATACTGGTTATGGTGTTCTGAACTAGTGAATTCATTAATACTTATATTATCAACTAGCTAATGACCCGCTGCGTTGCCAGCGTGTAAATACATTTTGAAATAATACACTTCTTTTCAAATTTTGTTGTTAATTTTCTATTTAATTTTTTTTTTTAATCCGATATCAGAGTCGCTTGCCAGTGAGTCCAGTGACGCATTTTAAGCACTCCAGAGCTGCTCTAGAGCGCCCCGGGCTGTTTATAGGCGTTCCAGTGTATCAGAGTTTTATGCAACCAAACTTTTCTTTTCGGGATAAAAAATAGCCTATATCACTCTCCTCTATAGCCGATTCGATTGACCGGATTAGATCGATCTGGTTCAATTTAAATGAACCACACTGTTTTCGATTCAAGCCCTCATCAACAAAAAAATGATCTAGATCAGAAGAAGTTCACTTAAATTGAACCCAAATCGATCTAATCTGGATCAATCGAATTCACCTTATATAGAGATACGTGGTATTAATTCAAGATCGGTCCAGCCGTTCTTGAATTCAAAAAATAATAAAGTTACGTCGGTTGAATGCAAGCCTAAATAAATGAAATATAGCAACGTTATTTCATGCTGTCAAAAAAAGTTGGGTTATGTTGTTATGTAATGTGAATGAGTTTTAATTAAATTAATAATTAATTCAAAATTAATTTCTTTTTCACATTTTCTCTTCTACAAGTTCCGCCATCTGTGTAATTAAGTCCCAAGTTTTATTATAACAATACTTTATGCTGCTAGGTTTCAAAGACGATGCCGGCTAGAATTATTATATGTATAACCAATGTCCTGTTCACAACAATTTCTCGAAAGTCGGTACTTCTATTGCAGAAACCCCAATTGTTGTAAATATAAAAACAAAGTCAAATACAGCCCATGCGAACTACTCTTGCCGTCAAAGACATAGTACCTTCCCAGGTCTTTTTTATAATACAGATTGCGAGAATTACAACCCCTAGGTTAATTTTAGGTTTATGATTGCATAAACGTTTCGTAACATTTTAGCACCTAAATAAAATACCTATGTTGTTAGGATAAGTTAATTTTAGGAAATTGTAAAATACCCTTCTTTAGGGAGTTCCAAACTTGCCTTCTTTGGTGGAAGATAGTTGAAAGCAAGGTATTCAGATTCCGAGCTTCACTCTGAACAGTCGGGTTGCTTCTCAACATTCTTAACTAAGTGTCCCCCTTCAACGAGAATTTTAATAAATGAAACATTTTTATGCAAGTGTTTTATTTAAGAGTGGCAATATTTTTTTAAGTTTGCACAGCTAGGATTTAAACTTTAAATTAATTCTCTTTATCTTCTTGTCAATGAAACATATAATTTTCAATATTTAGCGTGAAGTTATTGAAGGTTCTAAACTAGATAAAGGCTTTTATTTGAACAGATATACTTAACTTATATCTGTACGGAAACCCTCATATTAACAGTTTATTGATACCAATTTAGTAAATCCCCATATTAACAAACTATTTACATAAATAGTAATTACACAATACCTTGATCCTTATACATAAATATTGCGATTGCCATATCTTCAATTTCCATATCTTCAAAATATCAAAAACTCGTTATTTAAAACTTAAAAGCGCAAATCTCGTTCGGCAGCCTTTCAGTTCAAATACTTGCGCGCGAGTCGTTGGAGCCGTGATTTTTTCGAAAATTTATTGCTTCCAATTTTTAAATTAGTTATTCCTAACCCGTTACAAAAGAAACAATTATTGTCATTGCCATTCGTCCTTTACAACAATATTATTGTCCGTGAAGCCACAGCTTTTATTTTTTATTTTAAAATTCATGCGGTGCAAAACCAATCTGAGTTTACCTTGGTAGTTTTTTAGTCGCGTTTGACCCAGTTAGTTGGGCGCGAATGCAGTTTTCTGTAATTTATTTGTAACTATATATTTTTTGTTTATAATAAAGTGCTTTTTTGAATGAGTGATAATTACTGAAGCATCACAAAATGAAGACCAGGTAAATACCTATTAAATACCCATCTATAAATACATAGGCAGAATTTGTTTGGAAGTAGGTATCACTTGTATTATTGTTTTCTCTCATTTATCTTCTAAATTCTATTTTAATGGATTTGTTCCAAAAAATTATGGTTCGTTTCTACTAAGTAGTTCCTTTACCCTACCGATTCTAGTCACATTGTGGGTTCAATTGAAAAAAAAAATATCCAAATTTATTTATTCATAAAATTTACCAAAATGCAAGAACACTGTTTATTATTTATTTATTGTTATCATAGAAACAGAACAATATAAATATTTGAACAACCTTTGTTTGATAACATGTAGATTTTGTAAATGTAACCAAGTTGCTGATTAATTAAGTTTTTCTAAAATTATTATCGATGTACGTCCTCATTAGTTTTTAAAACACTGGGTGATTAGTGAAAAATGGCTGTAGGTAATAATTTTGTTAATTATTTTAAATGAGAACGATCGACCACTGGACAGTTTAAATAAGTATACTTGATTTTTTTTTTTTTCTGTTTGCGACATTGAAAACATACCTATCGCAGAATGACCATCGTTGACAATTTAATAAAATAGAATATGTTTACGTCGCGGCTAAATGAAAAGAAAAACTCTTTTTTTTTTCTTATAAAAGCTTTCGCTATATACACCGTGATTGTTGTAGCCCCTGCAATAGAATTCAATTGGATTACAGATGGATTAATAGAGATTGCATCTAATCCACCTGCAAGCTAATGCACGCGCTACGTAAAGCACCCTGTATATTTAATAGCAATAGTTTCTTCAGTTATACTAAAATAAAAGAAAATATGTAATAACAATAAATAATTAAAATTTAACTACTTACTAGAATTTGAGTTCTAATGATACTATAATTATAATACATAGGTATCACACATACTCAAACACACAAAATCACACTAATACAGTGTCCCTCATAATGTTCGTTACATATGAAGAACTTTTTTATTTGAAGGATATGGAATTTTTTCTTATGTGCGATCGATCCTGCATGTCCGATAACCTGAAAGTACATTTTGACTTCGATGTGATCACTGTTGTGACGGCAAATTCGAAAATTTAGATATTGAAACGCGAAAATTGGGGTTGGATGGCAAAATATCGGAAAAAGTTATTTGAAAAAAGTGATTAGAACGATGTTTTAGGGCTGTCTGCGAAATTTGGAGCAAAAGCAACAAAAAATAGGAAATTACTTGTTTTTCGCCATGGATCTCTTATTAAATGATATAATACAGTTTTTATTATTGAAATAGTCCAAGTAACTCAATATTTGATGTGTATTGGTAAAACAAACCAAAATTCTTCATTGGAATTATTCCTAGAGAATTGAATTAAAATATTCGCTTAGCACATGAAACTTTTCTGTAGCAATACCCTGTATCTTGACAGTTAAGTAACGTGTTATGACTGCATCGAAATATTCAATAAAAATCTCAATAATAGTTTTTTCCAATTGTTGTATCAACAGTAAATTATTGGAAGACTCATAAACTGTCAAGATACAGGTAGTCTAGGAGGCAGTGACAATTTTCGGTACTTATTTTTCCAGTCACGAAACATGGATAGAATTGTAGACTCAGTAATTCTAAGCAAAATTCATACATATTTAGGGGGGGGGGGGGGGGTTGCCGATGGGTTGAGGGAAAATGCGTCAGAACATACGAAACCAGGGTCCTTTTTTTCCAGTGATAAAAATAGTTCTACTAGTAAGAGGTATACTGAAATTACGTAAAAAAATAGTCTGCCTAATCTGTGAATATGGATAATATGTCTGGCAAGTGGAAACTTGAAAAATTTTCAACAAAAAAATTTCCCTCATTTTCGCAGTCATGAAAATTTATCTGATGATGGCCTATATATTATTGTTGGGAAATGGACTAAGAAATAAAAGAACTTGTTAATTATCGATATTCAATATATTTATTATATCGAACACAGCGTGGAAAGCAGAGCGTGTGAACTCATAGAAATAACTATACGAACTGACTCAACATCAAGACAAAGAATTACAAACCCTTTCTTAAGTAAACGATTCCTCATCTGTTTATCTTACATATAAAAACTATTATAAACACATTCAGTCATCCATAGCTGCGGTATAAATTAGCAAAGTATAGGCTAATAATCAAAGTTTAATTTATTAATTTTTGTTTCACTGATATAAATATCAGTTTATCCAACACGCCACCTCAAAAATTCGATCCATTATACTAAAAGTGTAATACAACCTAAACCTAGTATAACATGAATAGGCCTGCTTTCCTTATGTGTGTCTTTTCTGGGGAAAATTACGGTCCAGCATTTGCTGCTCGGGATTAGGGAAAACCCAGAAAAACCTAATCAAATCATTTAACTTATTTACTAAGCCTAATTCCATTCTAATTTCTCAAATTTCACTTGCATCAATGGTTTGGTAAACATGTCTGTTAGTGGTTTCTCTGTGGACAAATTAATATTTTATATTAATTACGATCAATTCAATATGATTTGATCTTTTGTGATTTGTTGGATTATTTGTAATACTTATTGAGGTCTATTGTTATCCTCCTAGGTCACAATTGACTCTGATATTATTATTTATGCATATTTTCTGCTAATGATTTTAACCAAAAAGCCTCTTCAAAAAGAAAAACCATATACTCGGCTTCAGTAGATGATGCCGTTACTGACAACTGCCTTTTTGTATTCCAACATATCACAGAAATTTCAAACAGTTTAAATAAATATCCTGTTGTGCTTTTATATTGTTTATATTATCATCTCCAGCTTCCTAGTCAGGATTAATAGAATCACTCAAGAAAATGATACATTCACAAGTGAAATATTGTGTCAACTTCACATTGATTTTACCCTTAAGATACCTAAAGACCCTTTTCAAATATTGCCAAAACTCTTTATTATTCTTGTTTTAATACCTGCTCAAAATATTAACAGTGGTACTTAAATCAGGCTTGATATACATAACATAATATACATTAAAAGACGATTAGATTCCGGCAAGGGCTATCACGTTTTTCTCCTGAATTTAAACCAATAAAATTCAGTTTACTAGGAAGTGGAGTGCTGACACAGCTGATGGCACAACAGTCATTCATATTAAATTTATGTAAAATAGTTTTCATGTACATTTGAACTGTACCTATATGAAAATTGATCAAGACTAATTTTATTTTTGATTACCTTTCAATTTTATTACCCAAAAATAGTTTACTGTCTTTCAAATAAAACATAGAACAGTTATTTGCCAAATCCCTTTTAAACTATTCAATGTATTATTATCTGCAGTGGCAAATACCATCTACAGAACTACATAAATAATTTTAAATATTGCACCTTTGTCTAAGATATAAATACACTGGTTAACTGATGAATTTTCAAACCCATTTTCTTTATGAACTTTTACTATTATTTCAAACCAACATCTAGTGGTTTGTTTTAGTCCATAGATACAAAGCCTTACAAACTTGGTTAGGAGGTTTACTTGTCACACCTTGAGCCAGCCACCCTTCAGCCTTCAGGAACCTTCATAAAAATGGCTTCCTTCAATGACCTATCCGGGAAAGCTGTTTATACATCCATATGATGTATTAAAAGGGTGAACTGATTAAAAAGGTTATTATAAACCAGAAACCTACGATTCTCGCCACCTGTGCAAAGGTTTCATTATAATCTACCCAGTAATGTTGACTAAAACCACGAGCAACTAAGGAAGCTTTGTATCTAAATGGTTTTCCAATTTCATCATTTTCAATGGAAAATATCCATTTACAATCCACTATATTTTTATATTCGGGTCTTGATACTAACGACCACGTTTTATTTACCAATAATGAGTGAATCAATATCATTTGGCAGATCTGTTTTAATCACAGATTTACTATACTCATCATTTAGTTTAATGAGTTTATTAGGGTTAACATTTACACTTTCCTGGATTGTTACTCATCTGATTTAGCTATATCAGATTTATTAATCAAACCACCGATCTTGACAAACTGGCACTTTCAGGGGAAAGGTTTTATTAGACTATCCAAGATGCTGTCGAACTCAAATTAAAATGTCCGCCAAGAGGAACACAAACCCTTTATTTGCTTGTCAAACGCACGTGTTTTGGATAGGCTAATTACCAAAGTTTTGCATTCATTTTTTACACTTTTTCAGTTCAGTTCAGTTCAGTTTATTAATAACTACTGATCTTGACAAACAATCAGAGGAAACAGCTTTATCATCAAAGTGTTTTACATTCACTTTTTCATAATCACTATTACCTACTAATATTGACTTACTCGAAACCCTGATTGAAAATCACTGGATAGTTTATTTTTATCTACCTATAAACTCAACAAGTTGCATATACACACCATTTTCTCCAAAATTTTGTCAATAGTGCAAAACAAATTTATTGGCTGCAATTTACTGGAGGATTTTAATTTAACTACTTTGGGAATCGTGATTATAGTGGAAACTGAATGAATATCATTTGGCAGATCTGTTTTAACCACAGATTTACTATAATCATTCATTACATAGTTTGATAAGTTTGTGTGTTAACAGTTAGCTACTTTCTTGGATTGCTTGCTCATCTGATTTTGCTTTATCAGATTTATTAACCAGCAATCTTGGCAAACTGTCAAAGGAATCAGTTTCATCACCAAAGTGTTTTGCATTTCCTTTTTCAAACTTATCATTAACTAACCACTGATATTGACAAAGAGTCAGAAAAATTGGCTCTATGACCAGAAAAGTTAAACATTTACTTTTCAAGCTTATCAGTAACCACGAAGCGGGTTTTGTTTTTTAAATTGGTATGATAAGGGCTCTCGGGAACAGGGTAGAACGCATACTCCGATTGAGTTCATTTTTGGTATACATATAAAGGCCGCTGAAAGAAATTTTTCCCAGAAAAAATTGACCTTAGCCGCGACCTTGACCGTGACCTTGACCAGTGAAATTCACATAAATATCAAT